AACTACTTCTTAAAACGTCACCAAAACCTAACTGTGGTTGCCAACCCGCCTGCCAAGCGTGGCAACTATTGGCAACAATACGTGGAGACCTATGTCCAGCAGTGGACAATAAACGGCTGATGTGATGATGATAGTAGCTACCAAATTAGAAGTCATTGTGTACATCTATCTGTCAAGTCTTTTCTTATATTTTGACTTTGTACAAAAGTCGTTTGCTTGGGTACTTCTGTCCCATTCGTGTTTCAACCGTGAAGCAGTTGTGCTTGCATGGCTGTGTTTCGGTTTGAAGGGTGGGATATGGCGTGAATTTACTGGGTACAGAGGAATAACACCTGAATCCTCAGGAATGGCAACGCATGGGGGTATCATGGGTGAAACAGTATACTCTGTTATGTCCATGGTACTGCTCATGTCTATAGGCGACGGTTACCACTTTCCATCAGGTGGGCCGTCAGCTTATTTGCCATTCTAAGTTGTATAAAAAATCCACTTTCTTATTAATACATCAGTGAGTATATATTACTCATAATAAATTCTTTTTCATTAGTGAATCCTTTGTAATATAAGTGTTTTAACATTGCGTAATATAATTTATTTGGAACTTATTATTTCATGTAATAAAATAAAAGGATCTTAAATGTGTATTTTTAAAATTATTAAGTACAAGTACGAGTTAATAAAATAACGGAATTTACATATTCTGTGATAAATTTATGTGCGCCCGTGAACATCAGGTTTACTCTTGAATTTAATATCATTATTAAATCAATTTATTGCCAAAAATAACAATTTTGTTATGCGTTCATAACAAAACAATTAGGAATTAGGTTAGTATTGAGATCGGTTTAAAATAGTTTGCATTGGTCAATTGCACTAATATGTATATATCAGAACAATATGCAATCGAAAATACTGCAATTCGAGAGTGCGAAATATCTTAATTTCAATATTGATTATTGGAATTCATTTTATGGGTAACCCCATAGGTATTAAACTAAGATTTACCATTGTGAAAAAAACTGATACTTACAGATAGACATAGGTTACATAGGTATATTACACATCTATTTGTTACGTTTATCTCCCATTGCGGTAGACAGCAACACAGCTTACCTATTGCCGTCATTTTTTTTTTTCTGCAACCAGTACGGAACTGATATCCTGTACCTACTTCTAACATAATAATTGAGCAATACGTAGGTGGATTAATTTAATATATTCTTAAATACTCGTCCCGTACTTAATTACAAAAGAAATTTCCATAGCACCGGTGGCGCTATTGTAATGTTATTCGCACCAGCTTGTTGCGCCTACGCACCTAAATCAATTATCAATTCTGGTCTGTAATAAATTAAATACTGTTTGCGATCGATGATATCGATCTAACTTCGTTTTGATTAATGGATCGATCTGTCCCGAATATCGGCTGAGATATTAAACGGGGAAATGTTTCGAGGCCCAAGATGGCCGCCCTGTTGCGCGGGAATGCAGCGCGCCTGCTTTGTTTTTTAACTTTCCTGATGATGTTATTATTATAAAATATAGCTATAAATAAATACAGCTTATAATATAAATGAAAAGAAAAAAAAACAGAAATTGTATTATTTTATAATTATTTATTGAAACGAGTATTTGATCAAAAATAATTAACAACAAATTTCATAACAATTATTTCCACATAGTAAAGATAATTACAGTATTTAAGATTTTAACCTATACGTAGGTATCTTCAGAAAATTCCAGAAAATAAGGATTAAATAAAATATATAAGTTAGTAAGACTAAAGTTAGGGACAGCTATGGCTATAAAGCTTCATCAAGCTTGTTAAAAACAATTTTTTATCGACTCGACATGTTATTTTGTTGAATTTCTTGTATCTAAAGAGAAACATTGTTTTTTAATCAATAAAAAATACCCATCGCTTTGTTTAAGAGGTTACAGGCTTATTATCATATTTTTTATGATTCCCAATACTGTATTTACGTACTTTTAAACAATAACATGCTACATTACCATGAATATATATTTTATAACATTAAACAATATATAGTTAATTAATTATTTTTTAGTGTACTAATAAAGATAAGACAAAAAGCTAATGTAACAGAAGTAAATAAATACAAATTAAATGAAAGATTTGTATCTATTTACTTCTGTTACGAATAATTACAATATTGATCGTCATTAAGTTCATAATAAAAAAAATGTGATATACTCGTAGATTTCCTAAAGGTTTTCTTGAAAATATGCTTAATTACGTATAAACAATGACCATTTAATTGATTTAATTTTTATTTATTAGGTTACACGTTGGTTTTATTAGAAAGAAATTGTAAACATCGGGGGTCACATGCGCTATTTTTTAAATAATTTTAAAGGTTTCTTTTACTAATGACAATAGAAAGTTTGAAAAACACTGATTTTAATAATAATCACAAATTAAATAAAATACACCTACAGAATATAAGTAGGTACCTACCTACAGGAATTACAGATTACATAAATTCAAATTTGATCAATTAGGTGGGTAATTGGCAAATTCGAATGAATTTGTTTATTTATTTACCATTTTAATTTGTATAGAAAAATAATAATTTAAAAATATTGTTCCATAAAAACACGGCATTAATTTTAACAAATTTATATTGCGGTACCTATATATCGAAAAGGAAGTAACATTTATAATTAAAAAGAATGATTAAAATCGGATCATAATTGGCTAAGATCAAGGCACACAATGGAGTTAACAATAGGAAGTAACAAGTTTCCTATTGTAAATTTCTGAAATCCGTTAAAAGTAGGTATTTGTAAATATTTTAAAGCACAATTACAGGTTACACTTATTTAAATCTACCTACGTATTGATGCGTATTATAGTATAATATGAAATTATGTAGATTTGTACCCACTTGTTACTAAGCAGGTAGGTCGGTACTTAGATCGAAACGTGATTTGTTTTTGTTTACTGATGTAAACAAATCTTTATTACCATTAGGTAAAGATACATTTCTAATTCCCATTAATACTCCCCAATGGGGGGAGGATTATGTCCAACAGTGGACAGTTAACGGCTGATATGTCGATGATGGTATTTCCAACTATACCTACTTCCCAGGTTAAAGGTACAAACAATTATCGTGATTTATTCCTGTGAACGCATCACAATGTACTAACTGACCTGACCTCTAGTGACCGGTCAGTGTAAACCAATAACAATTCCTTTTCGTCAATAATAAAAAAAAAAAAAACTTACGTGGGTGGTGTTTAGGTAGTTATTTATTACAAGTGTAAATCTTTAAATTGAATTTTTATATATTTGAAATAAACTATCGGTGCTTAGTTAAAGTTACGTGATTGTAATACATATATATATATATATCTTATATTGATTGATTTCTCATAATAGAAAGACAAATTACAAATTCCAAAATATTTCATATTTAAAAATAAAGAGGTATATCTAAATAAAATTAATGCTTTCTCTTTTTTTTATGTGATATTATTATTATGTATTTTTTAAATTAGTTGTGTAGAACAACAGGTAAAAAATAATTTATACCTCTACTAAATACTTGTAGGTAATATTAAAAAAATTATTCGTAATAAGTAGGTAATATACATTTACGTAGGTAGGAGATTAAAAAATAATAATGCAGGTAGCAATCCGCCTAATTAATCACCAATCGTTTATAAATAAAAGAAAGATTCCCACAAAAAAACCGTCTTTAATTGTGCTTTTAAAACTAAACTACAAAACAAATTTAGACAAAATTTCTAATGTACCAAACTGTAAGTATCTACTTTTCAAGTAAAAATAAAGAATTTTGCAAATAGTTTTATAACGGCTGAAATTATGAAGTAACAAACATATAAAAAAAAAAAAAATACATTCGAATTGAGAACCTTATTTTTTTTTTGAAAATGGTTGCAAATGCATTTTTTGTAATTCTTCTCGTATTAGATTTACAGATATCGTATTAGAATTAATCAAATTTATTAACAGTTTAATTAATGTTATTTTAATTAATGTTATTATTTTAATACCTAAATGTTTTTATTGTAAATACCTAGCGAACTGGATTCATTTCATGCGATTTTTTTTGGAAAACAGATTAAAATTACTACTATTTTTTTTTCCAAAATAAAATGAGCCCATGTTAATCGCTGATAATAAACGCTTTCTATAAATAATTTAAAAAAGTTAAAATGCGGTTAAGTTTTTTTTTTTTAATTTGTTAGAAGAAAAAAAAACAGAACTTAAAATCTTTCTTCTTTAAGACATTAGTTTTAGAAGTTTAGACATTTAATTGAGACAGATTAGTTTCGTATAAAATCAACTTTTTACAATAATTCCGCGGGTTAACCTTGACTGTTTACATAGTGGACGCGGCGCGGTATCGGTTCTAACTAGATTTTTCGATCTTATCGGATTTTAATAGGCCGATACACATCTAATCAGACGTTTATGTTCAGTATGCAACCAGTTGGGAATCCCACTGGATTACACGATTCCACTAAATTTAATAATTAAATTGACGAGATTATACCTACTGATTAAATAAAATCCGATAATCTTTTTGAGTTTTTAGTATGTTATTGTTTTTTTTTTTTATTGAATTGAAAATTATTTTTTATTTACATATATTTATTTAAATAACTTTATAGACCAAAAGAAAATATGGTGCGAAAAGCGGATTTAATGCTAATAGCATTCTCTTCCAGTCACCTCTTGGGATGAACAGTGAATCACGAACGCGGTGCTTTATTATTGGGATAAATAAGAAAATATGCCACTTGGTATGATGATTATATGATTACATTAAATTTATTATTAAAATTTAACGCACAATAAATCACAAAGTTTTTCGAGTAGCTGCACACGACGGATTATTTTATGCAAATAATATGTATTTAAACCTAGACGTAACCGAAGCACTTATGTTTGTATAAAAAATAATCACAACAAGATTCAAACAAGAAAACTTAAAGTAAATATTAACCTTTGAGCATCGCCCGCAGATGACTGCTAAGCTAGTAATTGCGGCATAGCACGCACAGTCACTTTTTAGCACTTGTCCAATATCCGAAACTAATGTAAACTTGTACAACACTCAATGTGATCAGTCAAACACAAAACTATGAGGTTACACCAAAAACACCCACTGTAACTATATGAGGAACTGATGTGTTTATGGGTGCTGCTTGCGTTCGGATTGTTGTCGGCGCGGCGCGCGCGACGATACACTGTCAACGGTCGCCGGCACACTGCGAGACCGGCCGCCGAGGCCCCCCGCCCGTAGCCGCCGACTCCCCCGCGCCCCTCAGGAGGCGGGGCCACCCGAGCGAGTCGAGGCGAGGCGAAGGCTTAATTACGCTCAGCGGGCGAAGCGGGACGGCGATAGCGAGTGGGCGCGAGCTATTAGCACGCGGAGAGCGGGACGACGCGCGTCTTAAGTATTTTGTATAAGTAATGAGGGGTGCGGGCGCGGGGGGCTGCATCTCCCGCCAATCTTTAATGTTGATTACGGCCGCCGCCGCCTATGTGCGCCCCTCATTAACGCTCGGCCCCGCCTAGACCCCCATTTAATTACGCGACGTTTAATTGCTGACTCGCTCTCTTTTACAATTGTTTTTATTCGGATTCCACGTTCGAATTTTCAAGCGAGACGCGCTTTTGTTTGTTGGCAGCCAGCTGATTGTCTCGTCAGTTTATTTTAATTGGCCAAAAACCGGCATCGGCAGCCAATGGTCGGAGCTGTAGATGCATGTTGTTTTTATTTACAATCATTTTATGTTTATTTTTGTTACTTATACCACTTACTGAATGATAATAATCAAAACAATAATTCTGATTATTAGAGATGACATCTTAAAAGTAATAAATAAGAAACAATAAAAAATCGTCAGCTTTATTTTCTCTAAGTACGATAGATACTTATATCTAGATATACGTGAACTCATAACAGATTGATAAGGAAATTGTTTGAAATTGATTCAATGTTTGTTTACGTTAACATGAGTCTGGTCGAAGTTTGTTCACCTACATAGGTATTTTTAGTATTAATATTAAATACCTAACTTGGTAGACAAGTACGTATACTTATACTAGATAGATATCCGTAGAAACACCTAATATCTAGGCGACGTAGGTAGGTACTAAAGACCCAATAAGAAAAGATTTCGAAGTATAAGAACTAAGACGTTCATCCTATTATTGAATGTGCCGGTTGACATCAATTAGTAAAACCTGTGATTTTTGCGACTAATAATATTTTAGATTTTCCATTCTAAAAAATATTTTTTTTAACTCTTGCTGTAGTCGGAAGTAGCTACTTTTTGTAAACTTTTTGAATTTATAACATTTTAACATTTTGTACAGCGTAGTTAGTCTATTAGAGGCTTATTTAAAATAAAAAAAAAATCGAAAATAGCTCTTCTTAGTCCTTAAAAGATATACAGTTATACTGAACTTTTTAAAAATATATGATTTTTGAGAAGTTCATTATAACTGTATGATAACTCACCTAACTATAGGTTGGGTACGGGGCGAAAGGGATTGTTAGTAATGGAGACTGAGAATCCTATTGCTAACAATATATCCAACCAGGTCGACCTCCTCGCGGTTCTCCCAGGATACTATCATGGTTAATTCCTGATGTATTCATCATGATGGGCTAACTGGCCTGTTTTCATTCTCATCTATCACCCTTCACTGGTGCTCCGCCAGCGTATCCCGTTAGCGCAGGCAGGGTTACAATACCATTTTCACCCATCAAAAAAAAACTATAGGTTGGTATTATACCTAAATGATCAGTCGGGTAACTGTAAGCGGACGAAAGTCATCTTTTCGTTTGTCATTTAATTGACCATTAAATTATTACGTATTTTAATAAATTTATTACCGATGTATATTATCCATAGTAAGGGTATGCGGTTTTAACCCATAACCTTTTTACTTAAATGCTCTATGAAGAATATTAAAAGAAAAAACTTATTTGTTGAATATGTTTTCAATGAGTTTTTTTTTTATTATATTATAAAGCGAATTAAAGTCACGTTTAAAAGTATACCATTTCTTTATGCTACTTTGTCATTGTCACTTTCAGTGATAGATACAAAGATGCCTTAAAAAATAAAGAGAAAAAGAAATTTAAGCTAATTCCAAAAGCAAGAGGTTTGCAATTTGTTTGCAGATGTCTTTTATAATCACTGTTACGTTATTTAATTGATTGGGTTTACACTCGCATAAGTTCCTTGGTCGGTAATAATTAAAATCACAATTATTCTTTACGGAACAAGAAACTGCTTGTTGTAAAGCAAAATTCACTTGTAAATTTACTTGTAAATCGTAATTCGCGTTCATAATTTAACACAAATAAAGTGTATTGACTTCTTTATAAAATTCTAGGGTAATTTTTTGAAAGAAAAATTTGAACTGCGCGTAACCAGTATGAGAAATTTAGGCTTATACCATTTAATTCAAATATTTGCAATGTATCCTAGCGTGTCTACATCACATGGTATATTCATTTGTCATAGTTTATAGTGATTAAAGTCACTGATTATTTTTCGTCGAACAATCATCATTATCAAATCAGCCGTTAACTGTCAACTGATGATCACAGATCTAGTTGAATAACGTGTAGATTAATTTTATTAAAAATAAATAAATAATAATTACCTAGTGGTAGTGGTAGTCGAGAAATCGGCACTTTTACCCTATGTTTATTTGAAATAATTATCCTTTGTTAGTAATTTGGAACACTTTGGTATAAACATTTCTCAGTATGTACCTACCTAACTTAGAACACCATTTGTATATTCTGTTATTTAAAATCTCAAATATCTGCAAAGTAGTTATAATATAGAGGGCAAAAGAGGAAGAGGAAGACCGAGGATTAACTACATGGGTCAGATAAAGGAAACACTAGGCGTCATGTCGTATAGGGAGATAAAGGATATTGCCTGGGATAGAGCTGGCTGGAGGAAGATGCATGAATTAGTTGCACCGACAAGAGGAAACTCTTAAATGAAAATGAATGAGTTATAATATGTGTCTAATACCTAACTTAATCTTTCTTATAAAGCTTTTTCATTCTAACGGTTTTTTTAATGGGTGAAGATTGAATGATACTCTCGCCTATCGATATACGTTGGCGGGGTACCAGTGTGACAGGTGAAGATGAAGGCAGGTCAGTTGGCCCATAGTGAACAATTGAACAAGAATTAATCACTATGGCTTCCAGGGGGAACCGCGTGCAGGTCGACCTGATAGGGTGTATTGCTAGCAATGGGGTCGTTAAATCTTATTACTAACAATCACTTTCCCCCCTCATTCTAACAGTTAGATACCTACAACAAAATTAAAGAAGCATTGTCCAATTTTTAAATATTTTAATAGTTTTGTTTATGGATAAATAAATAAGGTAGGTTAAGGGTTTAAAAAATCTACCACAAAGATGGCAAAATGAAAACCTATTATAAAAAAATATTGTTAAAAATGTCAAACCTCTCATAAACTTAATTTAGGTATTGAACTGTTTTGTTCTTTTCTTTTCTGTTAAATTTGCGCAGGATAGGAACTAGGCAATGTATCCTACTACTAGTTCCTATTAGTTACTAGCAATTTCTTCTCTTTTTGATAGTAGGTACTTTTGATTAGCCATTGAACAGTCTATGAGAAATTATTAGGTATATTATTATTAGATATTTTATAAAACTTTAACTGTTCACTACTGGCTAGGCCTTCTCTATTAGGAGAGTTTTGCCAGTAGTTGCCACGCTTGGCAAGTGTGTTCGCAACCACAGTTAAGCTTTGGTATTTTAAAAGGGACGCTGCTGCCTATTCGTCGACCATTTTTGATGGGTGAAAATGGTATGGTAACCCCGCCTGCGTTAACGAGATACGCTGCCGGAGCACCAGTGAAGGGTAATCAATGAAAATGAAAACAGGCCAGTTAGCCCATCATGATGAATTCATCAGGAATTAACCATGATAGTATCCAGGGAGAACCGCGAGGAGGTTGATCTGGTTGGGTATATTGCTAGCAATGGGATTCTCAGTCTTCATTACTAACAATCCCTTTCTCCCCATCCGTCGACCATTGAATTCCTTTAGTTGCCTCTTGCGACATCCACCGTAAAGAAAAGAATGGCCTATTCTATGCCGGTACAGCACTGCTATGAGGATTAGTGAACGGGAACATCTAAGAATAGAATAAAATAGAATAGAAACATTTATTGCCATACAATTACAATACAAAATACAAATAACATATACAAAAAGTGTCCCACACCCGGCAAAAGGAACCGGCTCAGCTGATGCTGTGAGTGTCCCAACGCAATGTGAACAGCTGCACAGCACTGGTTTTCAGCCAGTCCCTCACTTAACAAAACATCTAGAGTGATAGAAAGGATACTTTAATAAAATAGTATCGAATTGTAGATTTTCCTCGTAAGAAGGCAGAAATAAATCACACGACGCGAAAGTCTTAAAATATTTAAGTGTAAAATACATAGTTGCGAATTACTTCCAAATTATCAATAAAATGGTGGAATGGTAACGCATGGGGGGTATCATGGGTGAAACAGTATACTCTGTTATGTCCATTGTACTGCTCATGACGGTTACCACTTTACATCAGGTGGGCCGTCAGCTTGTTTGCTATTTTAAATTGAATAAAAAAAATTTTTTTTTTGATAGAACCGGTCTAAGCGTTTTTTAAGCCTACAATACTAGGAATGTTTTTATTTTTATGGTGAAAACGGAATGATAGCTCCGTCTGAGTTAAGGGAATACGCTGGCGGGGTACCAGTAAAGAGTGATAGATAAGAATGTAAGTATGATGAATTCATCAGGAATTAACCATGATGGTTTCCAGGGAAGATTGTGTGGAGGTCGACCTAGTTGGGTATTTAATCCCTTCACCTTAGTAGGGTGTCACGTGCCAGTTGCCAATTTAGTGTCTATTTGAATTCTTGTTTTGAATGGGACCTATCTACCTATACAATTTTTTTTTATTTCAACCTGATGGAAAGATGAATGTCGAGAATGTTTTAATGAAAATATTATTAGATGAAGACTTAAAAATAGATAGATTCATGGATTGTGTGAAAGACGATACGGCCAGAAAGGAAGCGACTGCAAATAAAGAAGAGAAAAAACATATTACGTCGACTATAATATGATATAAGACATGAAAGGTAATCATAATGATGATGGAAGCGGCAATCACATATTTTATTTACTGAAAAAAAAATAGGTGGGTATTTAAAATTAAAATAAA